AAAAAAAAAAAAAAATTAGCCCTGGTGGCATGCGCCTGTAATCCCAGCTACTCAAGAGTCTGAGGCAGAAAAATCACTTGAACCCGAGAGTTGGAGGTTGCAGTGAGCCGAGATCGAGCCACCTGCACTCCAGCCTGGGCGACAGCGCTAGACTCCATCTAGGGGGGGGAAAAAAAAAAGAAGAAAACCCAAAAAAAAAATTAGCCTAGTGTGGTGGTGCATGCCTGTGGTCCCAGCTACTCTGGGGGCTAAGGTGGGAGGATCACTTGAGCCAAGGAGGTCAAGGCTGCAGCAAGCCAAGATCAAGCTACCTGCACTCCAGCCTGGACAACAGAGCAAGACCCTTTCAAAGACATGGAATCTTTGCTGGAGCAATATGGTAAAACACAGGGTTTTTGGTTTTTGTTTTGTCAACAGTGTAGGGAGAACTGGAAGTCACAGAACTCAACAGCTCTTTGTTTTTCCACTAACATAACAGAAGTAAATCGTTAGCTACACGGCTGTGCCTCAGTTTACCCCTGTGTAAAATAAAGTTAATCCTATCAGACCAGTCTAAATATATAGCCAGGCCAAAGTATTGACGTCCAAATTGGAGTTATTACCATGACACTAAGAAATATTCTACTTCCACAGTTAATTTTATATTTCTTAGCCAATCATTTTAAATACAGACTACTTTTTAGGAAAAGGGAACACATTCACCACTATTATAAAAAAAGAAAAAAAGAAGGAAAGAAAAGAGAAAAATTACCTTTCAAAATACTTGTCCTATCCTATTACTGAACTGTTAAAGGCCCACTTCAAGCTGAAGTCATTAATACATCACACTCACAATAATCCTTTAAAAGGCAGATCTCACCATGCCCATTTACAGAGCAAGGAAACTAAGGTTCAAAGACAGGCTACGTAACTAGCACAAGTCATGCAGCTGCAGGTGGCCGGGACAGACTGCAAATACCCAAGTCAGTGGCATAATCTTCGTATACTTTAAAAAAATCTTTATTATTACTTGAAGATAAAATATCTAAAAAGCAAAAGTGTTACATAAATACACATAAAAATACAATAGTAATTACTATTCATTTCCTTCAAATACTTTCCTTGATCTTGGCTTCATTCCTATCTTTCAGTTCAAAAGGCCTTTGTTTTCTAAGTAGACTTTTATTTCGAGTAGCAACCAAATTGGATATGTGATTCGGTAGGAACTAGTACATTAATGTACTATACTTTTAAGTCTTTAAATCACAGTAGTAAGTGAAAGTTTACATTAAATATTATGACTAGAACTCCTCAGACACATTTTTACAAAAATCTAGTGGCTGCAAAGATCACAGTAATAAACAAAGCAAACTGGGCCACTCCATAAATAAGTATATCAACAAAAAACATACACCTAAGGAAATATCAAAGAATCTCTCCATGTTACAAAAATGAGGTCATGATGAGTTCAGTGAAATTGTAAAAGAAAGTTCCCTAAAATAAGACCTACACCTTAGAGTGAAACTACAATTATACAAACTTGAAAAGAATCAACTTTCTCAGAATGGGAACAACGTACTGTAGGCTAAGAAATAACCTGTTCTGGGTTTACTTGATTCTCCTTTTATAAAATGTAGCCAACTTAATCTTGCAGACTTCAACAAACAAAAGTTTAAATGCTAAAGCACAGAAAAAGTCTAACAATATCAAATGCTGTAAAACACAGCTCAACTCTCCTTTATCAAAAACATCCCTGCAGTAGGTATTAATCAGTCACTAGCAGGAACTCCGCACAATGCAACCCGTGTGTTGTGCAACCTGTGTGCGCATGGTACTTTACTACAGGAAGTAGAAGGAAGTTCAGTTTACCAAGAACACCACACTTCACTCTCAAAAGTCTTGAAAACGAATCCCTGTCACAGTAACTAATTTACATTTCATTTCAAACTGAACAAGTCAGTGTAACCTCAAGGAATGTGAGATTGTGAACAACTTCACTTGGCAAAATCAGGTGTGGTATGGTTTGGCTTGGGTTCTTTTCCCCCTCAGAGGTAGAATATAAATAGAAATAATTAGCAACTTCTAATCTCATGAACAAGAGCTTTATTTAAAATCCTCACATGGTAATCATTTTATGCCATTAAGTGACAGACACATTAGCACAAGATGACTTTTGTGAATTTTAGGACCAAAAGATACCTAGAAGAAACATAAGGTGTTCTTTCCTTCGCCACCAAATACACAGGCAAGTCTGTCTGTAGACAGCAAGAGTGCTACAGGCAAACAGGGGGTCTGTCTACAGACAAACAGGGGGTCTGTCTGTAGACAGCAAGAGTGCTTTAATCCTAAACCTAAGTTAAGATTTAGCAGGTAAAAAATACAGAAAACAAAACACAGCCTAGGCAACCAGCTACAGATCACATGCAGCAGGTGACAGGAAGCCTTGTGGACACTTCACACCCACAGGGGTGAGCGCCATCACAGGTCAACTCCAAGCCCACCTGAGCTCCTCAGAATCGCCATCCAGCAGGCCATAAACCAGAAGGTGGCAGACACCATCACTGTTATGCTAGTAATAAAGGAGAAGCAGCCTCCCTGAACCCAAGAAAACCACCCCTCTCTCCAAGCAGAAAGAGGAGGCCCCTTCACACCAAGGACACAAAGAAACTGAAGCAGCCAGACCCAAAATAAAAATTAAATTTAAAAAGCAGCATGGGAAGAGAGATGACAAATCTGTGCTGGGACCACTTGGAATCTCAGTCTATTTAGGGTCTCACACTGAAAAGTAAAAATAAAATTTTAAAGGGGGATGACAGAGATAAGAGTCCAATCAGGTCTGTGCTGGGTCCACTTGGGGTCTCGGTCTACTTAGGAGTCTCAGACTCAAAAATAAAATTTTTAAAATGAAAGGGGGAGATGACAGTTCAATGTGTGCGCGTGATGACCACCTGGGATTCAGTGCACTTGCTGGGAGGTGAGGGGACAGGTACCTCTGTGCCCGGCCTCCAGGTTCCCGGGAAGGGCAGGCGCCCAGCGAGAGTCTGGGGTAAGTTTAACTCGAGGGCGACAAGAGCAGTGCCCGAGGGCCAGGCTGCGGCTTTCCGGGAAACAAAGCCCCCGGCGTCCAAACTGTAACCGAGGGAAGAGGGTCGCCCACACATCCCCCTCCCCAGCCTCCCAGCCACCGACCCCCGCACAGACGGGCGCCCTCCTGGCAGGTGTCCCTAACCCAGCGCCCCGACCCCCGCGCCCGGCGCGCGCCTCACCCAGCAGCGCCCGCAGGTGCTTCAGGCGGGTCAGCACGTCCTTCTTCGGGTCCAGCACCTTCTGGGTGGACTTCTTCACATCCCCGTGGCTCCTTCGGGAGAACATCCCGCGGCAGGAAGCCCGGGCCCCGCCGGCGGGGCAGGAGGCGCCTGCGCCACGCGAATCAAAGCATAGGGTCGAGGCCGGCGCGTGTCGCGCGGGCCACTCGCTGCCCCCAGCCCGGCTGCTGCCGCCTCTGCCGCCTCTGCCGCCGCCACCGCCGCCGCCGCCGCCGCCGCTTCAGCTGCGGCTCCAGGAAGGAGGGGCGGGCCGGTCACCGTGAGGGGCGGGGCAGGAAGGCGGTGTCGACGCGAAACCGAAGGCCCCGCCCCGCGGGAGGCGCCGGCCGGCCCCTTGGGCCCTACGCAGGCGCGCACAGCCCGGACTCGCCTCGGGGACACTACCCTGTCCGCGCCAAAGCCTGGAGAGGACGCGCCCGGAGCACGGAGAAGGCGCCTCGAATCACAAAGGAGCGTTCCTCCTGCACGCATTGTACTACAAGTCCCGAGATTCACCGCGAGAGAGTCCTCCAATCAGGCTGGCGGCCTTTGGCACGATGGGAGTCAATGGGCCGTCATTGGGCACGTTGCCCCGTCCTGTCGCGGGCCGCAGGTGATCCTGGGAAATGAGGTTCTCCAGCAGGCCGACCGCTGCGACCTCCTTTCCTGGGTCGCAGAGGCGCAGGGCAGCATCCGCTGGTCCCCTGCCCTGGCAGCCTGGAGTGCCCGTAGCTTCATTCTCCCTCTTGCGTGCCTGTCCCATTTCTTCTAGTGCAACGTGAAACACACACACACACACACACACCTCAGTAAGAAAAGTGTCAAGGCTTTTCAGATGCAAACTATTTTTAGGTTTAGCTTCTGGATTCACACCAGGGAGCGAGTCGAAGCCCCTCTGACCGTGCCAAAATCGCAGCTCTAATTTCACACTAGAATGAGTGGCTTTGGCACTAGGGAAGAGCGTTTGCCGGTGAAGAGTCCAGCCGACCCCTTGGTTCCTGGAATCCAGCCTCACTTGGGGTATGGGGGTCGCTCGCTCCGAAGGCTCCTTGGGATCTTGCCTCTTTGTAGGAAGGGCGCATTCTCTGTGTTGTGCAAGGCCACATGGCGATCCAGTAGCAGAACCAGAAATAGAACCTGAGGGATCTGACTCAGGCCTGTATACCTTGTAAAGCCAGGCGCCTATTCCCTGGGGCAAGACTTTAAGCTGGAAGATGTTCAGGAATTACACTGTAGTATTGTAGGATTGTATAGTGGCATCCGGATCTTGCAAGTTTTGACATCCTTTCAGCTTTTACGGCAAGTATTTGAGGTAGAATCACAACTGTCTTCTCCTCCAGCTGAACTGTGACTTGAGGGAAGTGCCAAGGATTTATATGCCTTTGTATCCCCATCCCTGAGCACAGTATTTGGCCAGTAGAGGAACTCAATAAAATTCATTAAATGAAATAGAATAAAAAGCTAAAATAGTCCTACATATTTCAACCAGGCAGGCAAAAAAAAAAAAAAAAAAAAAAAAAAAAAAAAAAAAAAAAAAAAAAAAAAAAAAAAAAAAAAAAAAAAAAAAAAACTTCACAGCTTTAGAGTATCTCTCTATTTTTAGACTTGTGTAATAATATTCCTTTATATGGACACATTCATACACAGGAATATTACTCAGCAATAAAAAAGAACAGACTACTGATAAACCCGATAACATGGATCACTCTCAGACTCAGAGATGAAAACCCCATGCTTAAGACGATGGCAGAGCTACACTACCAGCCTGAGTCCCCAGATGACAACACAGATGAGGGCCACAAACTTCCAAAAGTGTTACAAGAGAGCGAAATAATGTTTTATCTTAAGTCAAGGCATTTTGAGAGTCATTGTTACAGCAGCTGAGCTTGTACCTGATTACACAGAGTAAACCACAATATTCACTACCCCATTCCTTGAGGAGAAGATATGCTTCTTTACACTGACTGAAAAAATAGAATATACTTGTCTTAGGGAATGCCATTTTTTTATTGCAAAGCAAGCTGTCATCATCATCAAACATTTATTGAGCACCTGCAACATGTAAGGCATGATTCTAAACCTTGGAGATAAAAGATGTATAAGGTGTATCCTCCTGACCTCCAGTGCTTCCAATCCAGTTCAGGAGGCTGAACGATTAGATACATGTGGGAATAAATGATAGTGTACAGTGAGCACGTGACACTGTCAAGCTTGATAATACTAGAAACAGGCATCTGTGCATATAGATTCATCTCACCCATCATATCTAACCTTTACCCAGTAGTGAAAATGTAGAACTCCAAATCTTCTCTTAAAAGGGAAGAAACATATAGTATTATTATCTTGGTGGTTTTTCACCCACATGCATATACCATATGGCTCTTCTTATTTTCCGTTGCTCTTTCTAAACTCATTCCTGCTGGACTGTGAACTCCATGAGGGCTTTACTTGCTTTGTACTGAATTCTTGATCCCTGGAGTTACAGAGTGCCAGGTGTTTTGCAGACATTAAGTGCTGTTGAATAAATGTCCTACAGTAATCAGTAAATAAGGATAATGAGATCAAAAGTTTAAAACTTGCAATGCAAATTAAAACTACTCTGAAATACCATTTGAATCAGAAAAAAACAAAAAACTTCCACACAGACAAAGTTTGACAACACACTCTGGTCTGGTTGCAAAGCTATAGAAAACACAGCTGGTAGAAATGTTAGATGATACAACTCCTATGGAAGTAAATTTGACAAAATTAAATATTTGCCCTTTGACCCAGAATTTATCTTTCTTTATTTTTATTTATTTATTTATTTTTTGAAATGAAGTCTGGCTGCGTCACCCAAGCTGGATTGCAGTGCTGCTATCTTGGCTCACTGCAACCTCTGCCTCCCAGGTTCAAGCGATTCTCCTGCCTCAGCCTCCTGAGTAGCTGGGATTACAGACATGCAACACCATGTCTGGCTAATTTTTTTGTATTTTTAGTAGAAACTGGGTTTCATCATGTTGGCCAGGCTGGTCTTGAACTCCTGACCTCAAGTGATCAGTGGGCCTCAGCATCCCACAGTTTTTTGTTGTTGTTTGTTTGTTTTTTGAGACAGTCTTGCTCTGTCCACCATGCTGGAGTGCAGTGGTATGATTTCATCTCACTGCAATTTCTGCCTCCCAGGTTCATGCAAATCTACGTCAGCCTTCCAAGTAGCTGAGATTACAGGTGCCCACCAACATGACTGGCTAATTTTTCTATTTTTAGTAGAGACAGGGTTTCACCATATTGACCAGGCCAGTCTCAAACGCCTGACCTCAAGCAATCCACAGGCCTTGGCCTCCCAAAATGCTAGGATTATAGGCATGAGCCACCACTCAGCCAGAATTTCTACTTCTAAGAATCTACCCTGCAGATACTCAGATATATAACACTGGAAGGATTTAAAAAAAAAAAGACCCTAACATTAATGCCTACCCAAGTGGGATGGAGGATGAGGTGGAAAGGAATCAGTGTCTTCACTGAGTATACCGTTTTATATTTTTTCACTTTTGAATCATATAAATGTTTTGCATATTCAAAAATTCAAACAGAAAAAGACAAACCTGAAAATCAAAACTAAGTGAAAAAAAAAAAACCCAACAATATATATAATTGGTAGCATAACTCTATGGAGAAATAAATATAAAACCATGCATGGAAGTTTATTCCTTTCAGCACTATTTATAATTGCTAATGTAGTGGGTTGAACAGTGCCCACTCTTCCCCCAAAATGACATGTCTGTGTCTTAATCCCTGAAGACTGTGACTGAGACTTTTTTGGCAAAAGGGTCTTTGCAGATAAAATAATATCCTGGGTTATGTGGGTAGACCCTAAATCCAATGACAAATGTCCTTGTAAGAAACAAAAGAAGTGAAAACATAGAAATAAAGGAGAAGGCCACATGACGACCAAGGTAGAGATTGAGGTTACAGAGCCACAAATGAAAAGACCCCTAAAGCCAAGAGACACTGGAGGAGGCAAGAAAGGATTCTCCCCTGGAGTCTTCCAGAGGAAGCCCTACACCTTGATTTCAGACTTCAGGATTCCAGAACTGTGAGAAAATAAATTTCTGTTAAGTCACCCAATTTTTGGTAATCTGTTGTAGCCCCTTAGAAAACGAGCACTACCAGATACTGGAGAGAACGCTGTGATCGGCTAACAGCATGTGACTGGTCGTGGTACTTATATGCACATACGTCCATAAGTGGCTAATTTAATCCAGTTCATCCACACAGTAGAGCGCTATGGAGTACTATGCTGCTGTTTAAAAATAATGAGAAAATTTCCTGTGTACTGATTTGACCTAATCTTCCAGATACGTTGTTAAATATAAAAGGAACAGAATATTAATTTTTTTTCAAAAAAAAAAAAACCACTGGAAGGATAAATAAAAAGCTAACATTAATGCCTACCTCAGTGGGATGAAGGATGAGGTGGAAAGGAATGAAACAGAGCACTCTCTGAGCACACCTTTTTATATATTTTTTCACTTTTGAACCATATAAATGTTTTACATATTCAAAAATTAAAACAGAAAAAGACAAACCTGAAAATCAAAAATAAATGAAAAAATAAACTCAACCGTGTATGTAATTGGTAGCATAACTATATAGAGAAAATAGTTATTTCAAGTGATTTTTGGAAACAGTGTTCTGATTGTACCTCCTTAGAGGAATATATTTTAAGGGCAAAAATATCTGAAAAGAAATAATAATTGCTATTAAAAACCAAGATTTTCAGTGTAAGAGAAAGGAGATACAAAAATATCAAATGAAAGAAAAAGGGAAAACTCTGTAATATCAGATTTTTACTTCAAATATCTGGAAAAGAAAGAAAGAAGGAAAGGAAGGAAGGAAAGAAAGAAAGAGAGAGAAAAAAACCAGGCTGAAAAGAGAAAAAACAATGTCCCAGAGGAGCTCAGCAGGCTTAAAAATATTCTCCAAATAGACAGTGATGTCTTAATGAAAGACACTCAAGGATAACAACTGTTGGTGCCCAGTGGCATGGGCTGGGTGGAGTGGCTCCGGCCTGTAATCTCAGCACTGTGGAAGGCCAAAGCGGGAGGACTGCTTGAGGCCAGGAGTTGGAGACCAGCCTGGGCAACATGGCAAGACCCCACAAAAAGTAAGAGAATTAGCTGGGCATGGTGGCACACTCCTGTAGTCCCAGCTACCAGAAGGCTGAAGTGGGAGGATCACCAGAACCCAGGAGTTCAAGGCTGCAGTGGACAGTGATGG